AAAATTTGAACTTCATGAGCTAGAATAATCACAGTAGGTACTGTAGGGAACACGGAACGACTAGTCTACACTTTGCACTCTGCAGTCTGCAGTTCAGCTAGAACCATTTACAATTTCTTTGCATACATTGTAATTGTTGTGCACAAAAATGATTTTATGGACGCGTAGAGGATGGAGGCAGGATCTTTTTGCGGTGACGACAAACCCGGCTATAGAAAAAACCCTCTCTGATGGAGTGCTGGTTACAGGTATGCACAGAATACCCCTCGCTAAGGCAGATAGCCATGGAAACTGCCCCTGCGTTTTTTCCAGTATTTCAGGATGTCTCCATCTGGAACATATGCCAAGCTTGCCGTCGTCTTAAAATATTCTACCTTTTCGTGAATCTTATCAGACGAGATAATTTGTGCGGAAAACATTCCGCAGAAACATTTGACAATGAGCAAGTAGCGCGACAGGAGATGCAAGCTGGGCTGATCCTTTCGAGTTGGGTTCGGTCACAGCGATATCCTATTTAATGACATCAGCTTCTCTCACATTTTCCTTTACTTGGGCAACCAGAAACTCTGCTTTCGTCATGAACTTATCTGAGAGATGGTTCTTCACCGACTTCAGGTTTTGACAACGAGGATCCAGAAGTGCTGCCGCGACAAGTAGATCCGTGACTGGAAACCTGTGGTCAAGCTTAGCACGCATAGAGTTCATTGTTTGTAGGATAAGCAGACTGTCCGAGTGACCCGAGTCCGACTCGCTATCGCTGTCTTCTAGACGCTCTTCCAGTTCTGCCTTCGTGAGCAGAGCAACGTTCAGCGTCGTACTCTTCTCCGCCGACAGGACTTCCACAGCGGTGCGGAAGCTCTCCAGGTACTTGCCGAGGTCGTCCAGGAATTTCCACTCACTGAGAGTGAGCATCAGATTAGACTTCTCAATCCTTGCAAGGATTGTGTTGATGCTGTTTCTATGGGGACCCATACTTTTGCACAGACGCAGCAGAGCGTGCCATCGGGCGACGACATCGGTCTTGAGAGTAAGAGCCTTCTTGCAAACTGTTGCTGCGTTACCTGCATGGGCAGGGACTTCCTCGTCGTCTCCCTCAAGTTAATGTCTTCCAGCACCGTAAGAAGGTCTCCATCCTCCATGTCCAACACGTCCGCCGATTTCATTATGTCAGTGAAGATAAATATTAAATTAACGACGATAAATAGTGAGCAATACCTATATCATCTATTGACTCGTCACATAATTAATACAAATTCCTGAGTTCACGAGCATGTTCCCGCATGGCCATAAAGGTCAGCTGCGGACCAATCTTAATTTGTAGCAACAATGATATGTGAGGAGAAAAAACGACGATCAAAAAAAAACTTACAAATTCCGTAATAAATTTTCGCGTAAGACGGAAGAATCCTCACATATCTTGATCGAAGACGTTGCGACATGTTACATGAGTAGGGAGGTAACATACTTCTGGCCCAAAGATTTTTCTTGCGGTTAGCGGGGTCGGGGGGGGGCTTCGCTGCCGCGGGGGGAGCGCCGTAAGCGGTGGGCGAGGGGGTCGAGGGACGATGTAAAGGGTCACCGGAGGAAGGGCTATGCGGGGGGAAGAGAAAACTGGGCGAGAGGGAGAGTGCGACGCGAGGGGAACATTTGACGTAAGGTTGGGTGTGGCAGGGCTGCCAACGGAGGTCCGGCGCGGGGCAGGGCCGCCAACGGGGGCTCGTTGCGGGGATTTGGGCGTTTTTCGAGGGGGCGCTCGGAGCGGCGCTCGCGCCGTTACCGATCGTTTTGGAAAATCGCGGGCCAATATTTTTTGTTTGTTTTTTTTTTCGTCGTCGGTCGCGCGCGCGTTTGGGCGCGTCCGAACTCGTTCGAACTCGTTTAAGGTCGTTCGTCTGGACGTTTTGGGGGTGGGGGGGAGAACGACGCGTTTTAGGTGGTTCGTTTCGCGGGGGGTTTCGCGCGCCCGTTTTCGTCGTCGTCGTTTTTTTTTTAACTCTCGGTCCGAAGGTCGTTTCGATCCGCGTCGCGACGGGCAGGATGTGGTTTTCCTGCCCATCCCGACTTATCGAGATTGAGGGAGATGACTCGTCTCATCGTTCGATCGATTCGTGATAATTTTTTTAACGCGCGTTCAAACTCGTTCGCGGTCGCTCTCATCGTTTCCTCCTTTTGTTTTGTTTTGCGGTTTTCCTCCTTTTGTTTTGCGGTTTTCCTGCCCATCCCGACGCGACGTATCGAGATCGAGTAAAATGACTCGTCTCTTTGTTCGATCGATTCATACGATTCGCGATAATTTTTATTCAACGCGCGTTCGAATTTGGCGTCGCGGTCGCTCTCGTCGTTTCCTCTTTTTGTTTTTCTTCTATTTTTCGTCGGAGGATGCCGCGAGCGGTTGTCGTCATTCTGGGTTTTTTCGGAGGACGCGGCGAGCGGTTGTCGTCATTCCGGGAAAAAGCGCGTCCGGCAGGGGGTACGTCTTCCGTTGAGACGACGAACGGGGGGTATAAATTGAACGGGCGCGCGAACGGCGCGGCAAACGGTTATTTTCTACGAGGATTCTAGAGCGCGGTCGAGAGTTAATATATTTGTAAAAAAAATATGAGCGACGAGTACGCAGAACTTTGCAAACCAACGTTCGATCCTAAAATCAGGAAACCGATCGTGAAAATCAGCGAACCGCGCGTAAGAAATGGGGATCCGTTCGTGAGGAATGGGCATCCGCGACGCGTCGACGTAACGAGATATCTGATTCGTCGCGAAATCGGAATCGCCGATCTCCGATCTCAGCGGAGGTTTCTCCGATATTCATAATTACGCTGAAACATTTACATGGCGGACTGCAGATGGAGATATGCAGCTTGATTTTGACGCGTTAGGGGTGCATGTGTAGCATTAGCGATACGTACTCTCGAATGAACAATCGCCGTTATCCGTCGTCCGAGGAATCGGACGACGAATGGCGCTGTCGCGAGCCCATGCCTAAGTTTTCGTTCGATTCGGACGACAAATCGGCGAGAGTCGAAGCACCGTTGTCGAGTGCGCGCGCGTCGGTGGCGAAACAGGACGCGCGATGGAATATGGCTACCCATCATCTGCGAAGGGAAATCGGAGCGCGAACCGATCGCGAGCAAAAATGGATAGAGACGACGGTGGCGAACTCCGTCAGGGCAAGCGATTATACGCGTCGCCTGCCGCTCGAGTATTATCTCTATTACGAGACGGTGTACGGAGAAGAGAGCAGGATACATCGGATTCAAACCACCCGGTCTCGTCGTCTTTTCGACCGAGTGAAATTCAACGTTCCCGAGGGTGAACCTTTCTGGACGCGATGCGGAAAGAGTGCGACGAGTTGCTTGCCGCGGACGTCCGCGACGCGGACGGGTACCGCGCGTGGAGACGGCGATGCGACGAGTGTCTCCGACTCCTGCGGGAGCAGTGTCGAGTCAAACGCTCCGGGAAGCGAGAAAACACGGGAGCCGTGAGCGCTCTGGTGGCTCTGATAGCGCGATTGGAAGGTTCGAGGGAGAATCTGCGTCGACGATTCGAACGCGCCGTAGGTGCCGGCTTGGACGGAGGGGAAAGTGGTAGCGGCGGCAGCAGCAACAGAGATTTCTCGTGGATCGAGATCGACGCGGCGTTCCAACGTCGCGTGCTGACCGACGCTGTGACAAACTCAACGTACATCGAGCCCGCGCGATTTCTCGACGACGCGAAGGGCACCGTGCTCGAAAAGGTGCGGGATAATATGACCGAACACGGGTGTCTGAAGGTCAACGTCATATTCAACGGGGAATTCGTAGCGGACGTTAAGACCGACGTGAAGAGTATCGCTACGCGGAACGAACAGCTTGTCCCAGGGTCCGATCTGAGCGAGTGGTACAATAGACACGTGCGCGACGCAATTCTAACGCGGTTGGAAGAATTTCAGGAACGTGACAGCGGATGGGCGTTGTCGCGAATATTGAACCTAATCGTGAACGTGAACAAGTGTAACCCCATGCGCGTGGGATGTTGGATGAAAATACCGTTGGGTATAAGACTTAAAAAGGGCGGTGGTCAACGTGCTGTCGGAGAACGACACGTGTTTCGCGCGCGCGGTGGTCGCCGCTTTGTACCCCGCCGAGCGGCACGTGGAACGATGCGGCTCGTATCCCGATTACGCGACGGTGCTGAATCTCGACGGGATCGATTTTCCCATAGATCTGAAAAAGATCGGAAAATTCGAACGTCAGAACGACGTACCGATCAACGTGTTTACAACTCGGGAAGGAATTGAAAAGAAAGCTAAGTTCGGCCGAGGCGCCGACCACAACGCGATCGTGCCTCTGCAGTTGACCGACGATAAGCGGGACAGGCACGTAAATCTGCTGTATCTGCGCGATACGCTGCGCGGCGTTAACCGGGGGCCATTTCGCCTGGATAAAGAATCTGTCGCGATTGGTGAATTCGCAATTGACAGCGAAACGGTGCGCGAAGCACGTTTGTGATCGGTAGGTAAAAGAAATGAAATGAAATGAAAAAAAAGAAACACGAGGAACAAGGAAAAGACGAGGCGTTATTTTTTTACATACACGCAGTAATCGCTCGCACGTTATTTCGCAGATGTCTACATTATTTCTATACGCGCGACAAGTTGGTCGCCCACAGCGTCGACTGCGGCCGAATGAACGACTGCGCCGTCGTTCTCCCGAACGAGAGCGACAAGTGGCTGTCTTTCGACAATTACGACAGAAAGGAGCGACTTCCCTTCGTAAAGTACGCGGATCTGGAGTGTTCTCAAACGACGGAAGAGGAAAAACGTCGAGGGGGGCCCGAGAACGGAAAGATACGCTTATCAGCGTCACGTACCGTTCAGCCTGGGCTACTATCTGTGCTGCACATACGACGATACCGCGTCCACGTACAGATATCGTCGCGGTGAGGATTGCGTTTCGTGGTTCGTGAACGAGCTTCGCGTTTTCGCGCGTCGCGTTAAGAATAAATTTTTTACCAATATAGTGATGGTGGAACTTACGGAGGACAAGAAAAGCGAATTTTTGCTCGCGACTCATTGTCACGTGTGCGGGAAACCGTTTCAACCGGAGGACAAGCGCGTGCGGGATCACTGTCACCTAACCGGACATTACAGAGGTCCGGTGCATTCTCGTTGCAATCTAAATTACAGAAACGTTTACGTGATTCCCGTGTTCTTTCACAATTTGTCGGGTTACGACGCGCACTTTGTCTCGAGAAAATCGCGAACGATTTCGAGGGCGGGGTCGATCTGCTGCCGCTCACGAAGGAAAGCTACATATCTTTCTCGAAGACCGTTAAGAAGACGCAGACAGACAGGAAATGGGATCGGTACGTGAAACTTCGATTCGTGGACTCGTATAAATTTTTAGCGGCAAGTATCGAAACCCTGGCGTCCTATCTGAACAGGGACAAGCTAAGAATCACGCGTTCGGAGTACGCGGATTTGAGCGCGGAGGATCTCGATCTGCTTACTCGCAAAGGAGTGTTTCCGTACGAGTACGTCAACGGCGCGGACAAACTGCGGGATACCGAGCTTCCACCGCGCGAGGCCTTTTACAGCTCCCTGACCGACGAGACCGCGAGCGAGAGCGACTACGAGCACGCGACGAGGGTCTGGCGACGTTTTCGCGTGCGAGATCTCGGCGAGTACAGCGATCTGTATCTCAAGACCGACGTGCTTCTTCTGGCGGATATATTTGAAAATTTTCGGGACGCGTGTTCGGCGAGTTACGGGCTCGATCCCGCGCATTACTACACGTTGCCGGGGTACACGTGGGACGCCATGCTGAGGTACATCGGCGTGAGTTTTGAGCTGCTCACCGACATCGACATAGTGCTGTTCGTGGAACGCGGAATACGCGGCGGCCTCAGTCAATGTTTGCTCAGGTACGCGCGAGCCAACAACAGGCACGTACCGACGCACGACTCGTCCCAGCCCACTACGTATCTCATGTATTACGACGTGAACAATCTGTACGGCTGGGCTATGAGCGAATCGTTGCCTTACGCGAATTTCCAGTGGCTCGACGATCCTGAGAATTTCGACGCGACGACCGTGCCGACGGACAGCGACGTCGGTTACATTTTGGAGGTAGATCTTGAGTACCCGCGGGACCTGCACGACGCCCATGCGGATCTGTCGTTGTGCCCGACGCGCGACAAACCGCCCGGCAAACGACAGGAGAAACTGCTCGCCACTTTCTACGACAAATTGCGCTACGTGACGCACTATCGAAACCTGCAGCAATGTCTGCGACTAGGTATGCATCTGACGCGCGTTCGTCGCGTTCTGCGATTCGCCCAGTCGCCGTGGCTTCGCGTCTACATCGAGCTGAACACCGCGCTTAGGACGCGCGCGAGCAACGAGTTCGAACGGAATTTGTACAAACTGATGAACAACGCCGTCTTCGGCAAGACTATGGAGAACGTGCGCGATCACGTGGACGTGCGTCTCGTGACGCGATGAGACGGGAAATACGGCGCGGAGACGTTGATCGCTAAGCCAAACTTTCACAGCAGGAGCGTCTTCTCGGAGAATCTGGTGGCGATCGAGCTGCGAAGGCTCGAGGTAAAATTCAACAAGCCGATCTACGTGGGTATGTCTATTCTCGAGATGTCCAAGACGCGTCTCTACGAGTTTCACTACGACTACATAGTGCCGCTCTATCGCGACTGTTGTCGAATTGCCTACACGGATACGGACAGTCTGATATATTCGCTGGAGTGCGAAGA